CAATGTTATTGTGGCTTGTTAACATTTTATTTTTAATATTTTTATTGAGCTTTGTACCACGATTGTTTATTAGGAAAAATTGAAAAAGCAACAAAGTCTAAGCGGTAGAAGTTATAGCACTATTTCGGAGAAATTTTTTTTTAATTTTTCACCCCTTCCTACTCAATCCATCGACATGAGGTGGAATTCATCAGACGAATTGAACGTTCATTCTTCTGCTTTAGTAAAACAACCAAATTCTATTTTTTTTTTTGAATTTGTCACTTGCCATTTTTCGAAACTTCAACATTTTTTTTCTCAAAAACTGGGCGTACTAGAAAAATATTGTAAGTGCACTTCAAATCAGCATCTATAAGGCGAGGTCGGCCCTGATTTTGAGATAAAAGACCAAATTTGCTGAACTGTGATATTAGTCACTATATAGGTCTCAAACCCAGTGCACAATCCTTTGCTGGGATTGCCTGATTCTTAAAGATGATCATTTGCATAGCGAGCCGCTTGCTACAAGACAATAGAAACCCGTTTTTTGCCGAATCTAAAGCTGCTGACTTCAGTGAGCCCTTAAACCGAATAAGTCGGAGTAGCTCTACCGAAGCCTCCAGTATTTCTGCCGTGCACCAAGGCTCCTCGCGAGTTTGCTACCGCATCTTCCATATGGGTTGCTCACATTGCCCAGAGTGTGCGACCGGAGAAGCAAGAGTGGGGATTGAGTATAGTGGTGCAACTGCAACTGCATATCCAGAAGAAGGAAAATAAGGCGAGGAGAAACTTTCTGAGCTAACGAAAACAGCGGAGTGGTTAAGAAGAAAATTATGGAAGACTTATCTGAAAATGCAAAGTCTATGCTATTAGTAATAAAATGATTAAATAAGACAATGAAAAATATTATTATTGGTATATTAACATTGGTATATTAATCGGGAAATGCATAGTTGTAAAAACTGAACAAAAAATTTTCTGTGGATAAAAAAATCCATCCAAATAAGATGTAGGACTAGCAGCGGCTCTGCGAAATAGGTATAATATAGAATCCATTGTAAATGTGATAAAGTAAAAGTCTCAACACAAAAAATATCAAACCTCGAAAACTGTCACAACTAAGCAAATAAGTTAAACACATTTTCCCCATTTCGATGGATTGAGTAGAAAGGGGTGAACAATTAAAAAAAAAACTTTGTAACAAAATACTAGCGAAGAACATGGCGATTCCACCAGGACATAGCCACTATGGAGGATTCGTATGATAGAAAATCAAACCTCCACATGCTTGCTGACTATTTCTAGTCCTTGCAAAGCGATGATAATGCGATCTACAAAAAAAAAATGTTAGGGTTTTCTTTTCAGAACGCGGAATGTTTTAAGAGACAAAAGACTAGCTAATGATGAATCTGGGATATTGATTTTTTAATGTTGACTTGTTTATGAAATCACTTTGTTTTTAAAATAAATTCACAGATTGAGGTTTTCGTATTTGAGGGAAAACAAGTGCATGCTACTGAAGAGCTGGGGTTTTTTAAATTTTCACGCATTTCTAATCAACTCATCGACATGAGGTAGAATCCATCAGAAGAATTGGATTTTCATTAACACGTATTTTTTTTTTCTTCGGAGAAACGACGTTTAGATTCTATTTAAATTTTTTTTATACATTTGCCATTTTGTGACACTTCAACAGGTTTTTTTTTCAAAAACTGGACTGCTAGATAAATTTTTTAAATGCACTTCAAACCAGCATCAAAAAAATCTATAAGATGGTTCGGCTCCATTTTTAAGATAAAATGCAACCAAATTTTGTTGAACAGTGTAACAGATCTAATGGAAAACCCAAAACAGCCTTGGTTAATTGCCCCTCTAGCTTTGACTACTCATTACACGAAACAAGGACTACGTTTTTCGGATATACGTTTGGAATATCCAGACTTTCCATAGGAAAGGTGTCCCTATCCAACTGCTAGTTTTCTTAGAGAAATCACCTCAGTTCAGGAAATGGGACACGGTGGACTTGGATAAGGTTTAACCCAAAAATCCTCTCCAAATTCTCATTCTGTCATCATAACCAAATGTTTTATGCTAAAAATGAAAATCTTCCTTGGAAGGATTCGAAAGATATGTCGATTATCCTTAATTATTCGTAGGATAACTATTACAACTAAGTTAAAAATTATTCAATTAAATTTTTGACGCAAAATCTTCGTAAATTTTCCGTGGCTATGCCAAGTATAGCTTTTATGCTTTGGAGGGATTTATGGACAAGATACGTCTTATTATCAATTTTCTTATTACTCCTTTTTTCCCAAAAAGAATGATAAATATAGCGCCAAAAAACTTCACACCCTCGAGAAGAATTCCACCAACTTATAAAATTCCAGACCACACCGACGGCAAAACTACCTTCGGCCAGATGGCAGCACAAGTCGTCAACTCACATCCCTTTTTCTCTATTAAAATAAAACTAAGAAATTGAAAAAAATTTTGGACAGTCATAAATTCCTTTTGCCCGAAGCAGCGAGGCAGCAACGAATCAGCCAAAATAAAATTATTTATCACTGGCTGGTAGCAGTCAACGGCATCATCATAATTTCTGCAACAAATCTTAATACCAGGAATTCCTAAAATCCGCAGCAACAAGAAGAGTTGTAGAACGGAGAATAAGCAAGACAATTCACAAAAAAAAAAAAAAAACAATAAAACAATACAAATAAAAACACACGGAAAAGCAATAAAGGCAAACGAATTCTGATCGAAAGAAATAAATTCGATTTATACAACACAAATATTCTTTTTATTTCGGGCTTAGCGTAAAAGTTAACGCTTGCCAAATACAGTAAAAGTAAAGGCAACAAAATAAACAATAAAAAATGTATGCACATACATACATATGTACATACGTAGGTACAAATGTACATATTTACGTGTACATATCGCACACCGTCTTCAAAAGAGTCACAACTCAAAATAATACATTTATCAGAAAATGCAATGCGAAAAGCTATTTCTTAGCACCTGATAATCATATGGGCAAGGGCGACTTTACGTTAGGTTTTTTTTTTAACAAATTATAACAAAAATTAGCTCCAGCTTTTTCTGAAAGGTAAATAAAAGCACTGTGTACATTTTTAGCGCATAATTTCAAAAATGCCAAATTTTGAGTTGTGACTCTTTTGAAGGCGGTGTGCGATATGTAAAATAAATAAAAAATGTTTCGCTGTCAGTTCTTCGCCCCTTGTGTTGCTGTTGGTCGAAAGCGTGACCATTTTGAGCATAATAAAAAATAGTGGCGATAAAAAATGTATGCAAAACGAGCGTAGATATTTTATTTTTATTGATTTGTTGGTGCGGGTGCTGGTGTTGTAGTATTTTATGACACTCATCAGTCCAATTGTGGCTGTTTAGTGTACAAACGAGGCAATAAATTTGAAGCTTGTAAAAGTAACAGAGTTTCTTTCTTGGCTGCAGCAAATAGTGAAGGGTTTGCACTGGCTACCAGAGGGACCACACGGAGTTTAAAAAGCTTTGTCTGTAGAAAATTTAATAATGAAAATTGAGAAATACTGAAACCATTTCGAATCCATCATTTTTTACATTTTAAAAGTAATATTTTCAAAATAACCATTTGTTTGTTTTAAATACTCATATTCGATCCTGCAAATTTTCAATATTTTCTAAAGTTATTAATTATGTCTTAAAATTATTTGTTTTTCCTATGTCCTCCTCAACTTATGAAATATACTATATATGGTTTTCTTCATTTTTCAGGCGAGAAACCTTTCAAATGCGAGCACGAGGGCTGTGATCGCCGCTTCGCCAACTCCTCGGATCGCAAAAAGCACTCACACGTGCACACATCCGACAAACCATACAATTGTCGCATCAATGGCTGTGATAAATCTTACACTCATCCCTCGTCCCTGCGTAAACACATGAAGGTAAATTGGAACCCAGACCTGGTTCTTGATATGAATTTTGAAAGGTTTAGGCCGATATATTGCGGAAATAGACTAAAAATTTAGCTGAAAAGGTGTTTTGGTAAAAATCAAAATTTTCTCCCGTATATTCATTTCATAAGAGAGCATACACTACCGAGGTTCAACACGTTGCTTCAACGGTTGCCCCGTGTGTAGTGAGCATAACAGAGCACACACTACTAAGGTTGCCGTAATGGTAGCCTCGCTTGTATTGAACAAGAAAATCAGTGTGTAGTCAAGTTAAAAATATAAACTTTTTGGAAGAGTAATTTTCACTCGCTTTGCCACGGAATAGAAAATTAACTAACAAACACCCCAAAAAATAGAAAAAGTTTTTATTCCAAAATTAAAAAAGGTGCAGGGATAATAATAAAATGGGTTGCATTATTTCTTCAACGTTACCCACAAAAAGACAACCGTCGTTTTCCGTTTTTTAATGTCATATTTTCAAGAAAAACTAGACCATCAAAGGTATTTTCAATATTGTTCAGTCGAAACCTTTTCCATATGCCGTACTTCTCCTGGAAATGATGAAAATTTCAATGACCTTAGCAAAAATGGTTCTTAGTTTCGTTTCCACATTGCATTTTTAAATGGAACTGTTTCAATACCTAGTGGAAATTTATAAGAAAAATTTATAATTAAAAATAGGGCACAGGTCTCAATTTTCAATGAAATATTAGAAGCTTCGAGAAATTTAACATGGATGTGATTAATTTTAAACTCGAATTGAAAATCAATTTAAATGCCCCTACGTATGCTCACACACTCTTCTCTTCCCCCTTATTCCAGGTGCATGGCAATATCGATGAGAAATCTCCCTCACACGGCTACGATAGCGACGGCGATGAGTCCTCCTCCTCGAGCATTGTTACCGGTGGCGCACAAACGCCACCATCAGCGCGGCTAACTGGCGACAACCACAGCGGCATCGGTAATAAATCCTCTCCGCATTCCATCAAATCGGAACCGAGCAATCACAGCATCGGCGGCATGCATGGCGTCATACATTTGGGTGCATCTAGCGGCGGCAGCAGCTCCACCAGCAGTTCACATTTACATCACTCACATGCGCATCATGGCTCCGGCAGCGGTGGCGGCGGTAACAGTAGCGCGAGCAACAACAACAACCATTCGACCAAATCACCAGCACTTCAATTGATGGCCTCATCGGCGGCAGCCTATTTGGCACCACCACTCGGCCCACCACCATCCTTGACGGCCGCCGGTACGCATCATCATCATCAGCAAGCGGGTTCGCCAAGCAGCAGCAATGCTGCGGCCGCTTCGATGCTTGTCACCGGGCATCACAATCATCATCTGCTCTATCATCCGGCGGCGCAACACCATCCGCCTAGCGATTGGTATCACACAGCAACGCCGCCGGCAACCGCTGACGCAATGAATCCGTTGAATCATTTCGGTCATCATCATCATCATCACCATCTGATGCATCCGGGTGCGGCGACTGCCTATTGAAATTGGTGAGGTGGTCAAGAGTGGGTGCGGGTAAAAGGATAGTGCAAACGATAGTCGTTGGGCGCTGTTCACTTGTTTGAGTAGGGGGGCCTGTCACAGAAGGCGTTCGAAGCGAGCTTAGTGTAGTTTTGCGGGCTGCAGATGAACTACTTGTTTTTTATTGCGGTAAAAGTAGGCTAATTGCTTTAGGCGTAGTAAGGCGAGTTAAAACGAATAACTGTTAAGCAATGCACTCAAACAATCTCAAGCCCTTAGTTCTTACTTAAGAAGGCAATCTTTAGCTGTGCTAATTAGGCGTGAACGAGATAGCAGAGACAGCTCAGTTGCAATAAACAGGTAATGCAATGAGCTTTATATTTTTTTAGGTTTTTTGAAGCTTTATTTAAATAATATCAACAAAAAATACTTTAAGCAAAATTTTAACTCAATCTGGAGTATAACAAATTAAAACAATTGGAGCGTTTTTAATTTTTTTTTTTTTTTTAATTTGAACCCAAGTATTGAAAAACTCTAATTTAAAACCTTTTGTTATTTTTCAACAAAAACTATCTTAACTAACAGATGTTTAACTTGATACCTTTGAAGTTAAAATTTTCAACATTCTCTTCAAATAAAATTGACGAGTAGCAAAATTTAGTTTTTGTAAGAATTAGCATTTCCTCAAAATTTATTTAACTGGAATAGAAAAATAACTCTTTATTGCTTAAAAATTAAAAAAAAAAGTATGGAATATCTCTAAGAATACGTAAAACTCAACTCTCGGCCTTAGATGTTGCTACACTTATGTGAAATACAAAAATCAATTAAAACTTTGGTGTGAATAGTGAAAACAGATATCCAAGTACTAATCAAAGAATACAAACTAAAAAAAGAAAATCTCTACAAATATTTAATACAAAACCAAATAGTGCCTGCTAGACCCCTCTTTAACGCAAATAGCTGCTAAGCTATTGTACATAAGCCACACACATATAAATAGAAAGAAAAAACAAAAACCATCAATAAATAAAAATAGTCTTCGCGCTCACCAAAGCCTCTCCAGGTGAGAAAATCAGATATCTGGAGAACTAGAGTAGATTGCGAAATAAATGCATTTTAAAGCTTAGAAGATCGAGAATTGAGGAAAAATAGTGTCGTTGATCTTTAAAATGACCTTTAAAAATATAAGGTTTCAATTTTCTTCTTTTTTTACCTGAAGCCAGTATACATGGACTTTTTAAAAACATATTTTTGCTGTTCGTGTGCAAGGATTCCATTTCCAAGGTCACAAGAACCGAAAAACACATTTAAAATTTTTTTTTACGTTCATTGCATGTTGCTCTTTTAGGTCAAAAAAGGTAAATATTTCAAAAATTTTATTTTATTTTATTTTTATTTTTTATTGTTTTGAAGTCAAGGTAATTTTTAATTAAATCAGATTCTAAAATGCGCTTCCAAACTAAAATTTTTGATTTTGGCCTTTCTTACCTTAAATAGTATGCCATCCACTTTAAAAAAATATTTAAATGCATCCTTGCGCAAGAACAGCAAAAGGACGTGTTCAAATTTTTTTAGAAAGTCATTGCGAACTGATTTCAGGTCAAAAAGGAAAAAAAAAATTAAAACCTTTTTCCGAAGGTCATTTCCAAGGTCAATGTAATTTATTTTATCAAAATTTTTCCTGAATTTTCAACTCTAAAAGCTTTAAAAAGGCCTTCTATTTATTTCGTTATCTTCTCTCGTTCCTAATATATTTTATTTTTCACCTTTTTTTTTAAATAGAACATAGTAAGCCACTGCTTCTGCCCTTTCGCCTT